ACAAAAGTTACTGAGGTTCTATATCAAAGTCTATATCAAAGTATAAGGGCCTGTGGTCCCAGTACTCACAGGCAGGACTAGGAAGGTCACTGACTGAATCTGGCACCGGGTAAATGTTCGGGACCCTCTGACAAACAAACTAAAGACAAAGGTGCTGAGGCATAGCTCATGTGTAGCAGGTAGAGAGTCCTGAGTTATTTGCCACTGCTGCCAATAATGTTAAAGTCTTCTGGCAAGAGGAGAACAACCATGGTCTGCTAAGCTCCTGAAACCCAGATTCTTATTAACTCCATGTGAAATGGCGCACATCATGAAAATGGAAATAGAGAAAACAGCAACACTGGTCAGCTACTTCAAGAGCATCAAGTTGATGGAGTGCTAAATATTCCCTTCTCTCTTCACAAAACTACACTCTGGAGAGTGTATGCACTAGAATTTCTGCCTGATTATGAAACTGACTGCTCATCTTCATCCTTAGCCCAAATCTTAAACAAAACCTAAACTTAAGACTTCATATACGTTATATTAAATTTGTCAATCATTTCTTATGATTCTGACATTAACACTTAAAACAATGAGCGTGTTCTAGAGAATGACATATACAAGTTGTAGCTGGGTGCTGGCAGCTCATGTCTAGAATCAGCTACTTGGGAGACTGCAACCTGGAATCATGGTGTGAAGTCCATTGGGTCAGGAAAGTCTGTGACACTCATGTTCATGAACCACAGAAAGCCAGAAATGGAGCTGTGGCACATGGTGGAGTGCTAGCCCTGTGAGGAAAAGCTAAGGGAGAGCACACAGACCCTGAGTTCAAGCCCCAGCCTTGACACACAGAAAAATTCTAAGGAAGCACACATACAAATTCATGGAAGCACTAGGACCTAAATGAAGCATCAAACTTAGAAGCAAAATCAGCTTCCTCCAGGCTGCTCACCATCTCCTGAAGTCCATCTCCTCTGAACACCTTACACAACAGGTCCTACCACCTCCTGCCACAAACTGAATCTAACCTGGTTCTCTCACATGACTGGTGTGTGAGCTCAGTGCCTGTGAGCTTCTATTGCTTTACCTGTTCTGAGGGGAAGAATTGCCAACTTTACATGGCTATTATGT